GACTGAAAGACAGAGAGAGAGAGACAGAGAAACACTACATGTTTAATACTTTTTATATATTATTATTATATTATTATTTTTCTTTCTGTTAATACATGTGTACTATTTGTGAGCAGTCCAGCTGCAATTGCTTTGGCAATACAAATGTATACTTTTTGTCATGCCAATAAAGCACTCTTAAATTGAAATTGAATTGAAAAATTGAGACAGAGAGAGACAGACAGAGACTGACTGAAAGACAGAAAGAGAGAGACAGACAGAGACTGACTGAAAGACAGACAGAGACTGACTGAAAGACAGACAGACAGACAGACGGACTGAAAGACAGACAGACAGACAGACAGAGACTGACTGAAAGACAGACAGACAGACACTGACTGAAAGACAGACAGACAGACAGACAGACAGAGAGAGACAGACAGACAGACTGAAAGACAGAGAGACAGACTGAAAGACAGAGAGACAGACTGAAAGACAGAGAGAGAGACAGACAGACTGAAAGACAGAGAGAGAGACAGACAAACTGAAAGACAGAGAGAGAGAGACAGACTAACTGAAACACAGACAGACAGACAAAGACAGACGGACTGAAAGACAGACAGACAGACGGACTGACAGACAGACAGACAGACGGACTGACAGACAGACGGACTGAAAGACAGACAGACAGACGGACTGAAAGACAGACAGACAGACGGACTGAAAGAGACAGACAGATAGACTGACAGAAAGACAGACTAACAGACAGATAGACTGATGTTATAGAAATATGTATAGAAAATACAGATATGACTACTTCATTAAAAGTTTTCTTTGAGGATCATAAAAACCATTTCTGACATTTGAATACTAATTTAAATCAAATAGTAACAGTGCATAATACACTGTACTGTTCAATGTGAATTCATTGCGCCCTCTAGCTTGTGTTAACTGTACTGCCCCTGTTTTCACCATCTGTTCACATAGTTAGAGAATGAGTGTTGAAAAGAAAAGGCTTAATTAAATTATCAACAGTTATTAGCTCTGTTGTCTAGGCCTAGTTACATGTAGAGCTTGGTCACATGGTGGGTCAGTCGGTGAGCAGGTGAATCAGATGGAGGTGTTCAGCAGCTCATGTCAGGACTCTAGTATAGGAGTTTGTGTGTGGGGCTCTGCAGGAACAAGCTGTACCTCTGAATCAGAGTCGGAGGAGCTGGAGGAGGAAGAGGAGGACGAGTCACTGGAGCTGTCCGAGGCAATGCCTGTTGATTCCTGCAGGTCGACTTTATCTGCCAAAGCAGCAATATCAGGCCTCTCCTGTTTCAGGATCCTGAGACACACGTGACAAACTTCATCACGAACCCACTTAAAAAAATCAAAAATTATAAAACATTTATATATATAAAAAAAAAAACTTAAAAATGTAAGTTTTTTTTTCTTTTTCTAAAAAATTTTTATTAAAAAAAAAAATTACATTATATTGATTGTCCTCTTTGGGGGAATCAATCAAATGCATCTAATATGTATTATATTACATTATTGTGAATTTCCTATTTGGGGGGAACCTTCAAATTTATATTATATATATAATACTTAATTTCAATAAAGTTTATTAAATTCTTACATATTTTCTCCCTTTTCAAAAAATATAAAATGTCATTTCTTTTTAACAAATGTAATTGAAACACACAATTCTATTTTTCAACAAAAGTAATAACTAATATCCAGTGTTGGGCAGTAACTAGTTACAGTAATATTACTTTTTGCAGTAACTAGTGTAACTAATTACTAATAAGATTATTCAGTAATATTACAGTTACTATCCATAAAACAGCTTGTTTCTTAGTTACTTTCGATGCCTCGACACCTACTGATTTAAAGTCCAACAATCCAATAATTCCTAGATTTAATTTTCAGAATTTTCACGACTTGCAAAGACACATGAAGTCACCAGTGCAGCAGGCATATGAAATATTGGCATTATATTGATTTTGTCAGGAGAAAAGATGATCTGAACACTGATGTGTAAGTTGTGGCATTACTTTACTTGGCCTACCCACCACTGACCCCTAAATAAATTGCTTAAAATCTTTTTAGAGAATGAAACATTTTCTTATGAACTTATGTGATTTCTTTTGATAAAAAGACATCATGGAATATAATCGTACATGGGTTTAACAGAAATTATAGCTACAATTAGCTTCAAGCTACACATGACAACACTTTACTTAAACGTTACTATTAATCACCACTGAGTGTCGTGGTGTAATAACTTCTGACTGCGATCCAATGTGGATTTTGGTCAAATTATGAGGCAGAAATATATTGTTGGTAACATTTTAGAAGAATTTAATGGGGAAGATATGCAACTTATGTGAGGCGTGAAATTAAAGTAATGTAACTAGTAGTGTAACTAATTACTGTTGCCAGAAAGTAACAAGCAATAATATTACTTTTGAAAGGAGTAACTAGTAATGGGGTTTTTTGGGTAACTAGCCCAACACTGATTATACCATACTATAAATTTAGCATTTTCATTCTGTTATATTATGCTAGGTAATAGTTCATTTCTAATAATTCTCACTACAAAAAAAAAAGAAAAAAAAAGAAACGTACCTCTAATGTTTTTTTTTTTTAAACCAAAGCTTGTCAAGCATCAATGTTTATTAAAATCAGCAAGGCTGAAACTGAGAAGTGATGGAAAGAAAGGAAGCGTTACCTGTACGGAGGACGGCGCTTCTCCCCCGCAAACTGAAAGAGGTCGTCCCTAAAGAAAACTGGCACCTGGTAGTCCTCCAAAAGCTTGCGGCGCTTAGCATGCTCGCCGAAACTGCTATCAAAAATGTAGAGGGGGCTGTCGTCATGGGTTGACTCCAAATACTCCACGTAGTACTTCATTTTCATCTTGACAGAGTAGCCATCATTGTCCTCGCCGCATTTGAACTTCTGGTTGCGGTATTTGCGCTTGAGTCGCTCCAAGGTCCACTTTTCCCGGGCTGGCCATGAGTCTTGGCAGTTCAGCAGAACGACGGGCTTATACGGTTTCTCAAAACGCTGAATGAACTCCTCTGGACTGAGACGCTGGGTGTCCACTCGCTCCACGTTGTCCTGGACAAAGACAGGTAAGCTGTTTTTATTTTCTCTGAAGCTTCTTACAATCATCATTTCACAGCAGCTTTACAGAAAGTCATACATAAACACCAGAGCACTTAAAACCAAAGTTGAAGGCCAGTGGATGATAATGGTTAACAGGACAAGGAACTCACAAGTTCCTGAATGTGATTGAATTTAACCTTCAGAATAAAAACCAAAGTCAGTTTTTTTGTTTTTTTTTTACAGTAGATAAAGCCAAAAACTTTAGGAGACCATCATAAGCATCATAAAAGTCAACTGCCAGGATTGATGTCAATGGCGTTTGACCATGAAACCCCAACAACAACATCACAGTGTTGATAGGCTTTATTACTACTTGGTCAGTTTCTCAAAGCTATACAATACTTTGGAATATAGTTCACAAGTGGTACTTAATTTATGGTGTTTTTGGTTATTTTAGAGGTAGACAGTCACATGAACTACTGTTGCCTGAAGACTCTGTTCTGGGTTTCTGAGCTAAAATGTACTGACAGTACAATAAAGTCCAAGGGCTCTAAGACAGATCTAGATCCCTTTTGGTTTAGGATTGGGAATTTAAGAAAAACTCCATAAACCTAAGGACCCCATGACACTAAAAGAGCCACAGCGCACTGTTCGCCTTAGACAGGGTCTCTAAAATGGCTCTGGTCTCGCTGGTCAGATTATTTTTAGCCACTCCATGAAGATTTTCCTGCGGTTGAGCTCTTCACAGAAACAGGAGTCAATTGCAAACGAACTTCAATTACATTTGACAACATCCATCAGAGCTGATGGGACCTTAATCTGGTTTCAGAGAGGACACACTGATGCTTTTTAGCAGAGAGGTCATTAGCTGACCCTCACATCACTCCGAACCTGTTTGTGGTCTTTTTTTTTTTTTCCTGTGATCATTTCTGGAGTTTGTCACAGCACTTCATATGCAACAGCACTTCACAGAGACTTCTTGCAAGCTTCAAAAAGGACAAAAATCATGATAGTAGGCAAGACTCGAGAAGCCAGCTGGCAGGATTGATGTCAATGGCATCTGTTCACTAAAAATCAATGACAAAAAAAAAAAATTAACAAGTAACAAGTCTTACCAACCGATTATTGGTGTTTTTGTGCATTCTAGGAGGTCAGTATTCACAAGAAAGACACTACCATTGTATGAAAACAGTGTCATTTTGCTTTGTGTGTTCCAAAACAGAAGAAATAACTTTAGGGCAGTTACTCTCAATTTTTGACTCCAAAGCACTTTGTTTTTGTTTTCAAACTCTCTCTCTTTTTTTTTTTACAGAAACTATGAGGGTCTATAGATAAAAATAAAATATTAACAATTATTTTTTACAATTAAGGATTCCAGAAGAGTCAAAAGTTCTTCAAGGTTTCCACTCTTTTTCCAGTCACTTGTGACTTATATGTACACACATTTTACATTTAATCATTTAGCAGATGCTTTTATTCAAAGCAACTTAGAAGCAAACTAACAAAACAGCAACAATATATACATTATAGTGCTGTGTGTACTATAGTGCTATATTATATATCATATAGTGCTGTGACAAGTCCCAGTTAGTCTAACGCAGTAGTTTTTTTAAATAATAAATAAAAAGGAAAAAAGTATATATAACAGAAATAAAATAGACAGAGCTCGTATTAGAGAGTCAAGTTTTTTTATAATAAATAAAAAGAAAAACAGAATAGAAATATAATAGAGTGCTAGTTAGAGGGTCAAACTCTCAATTTCTACCAAAAAAAAAAAGGTTTTAAGCTCAGCTTAACCAGAAAGATAAATGACAGGTGAGCTAACACTTTAGTATAGGGACCAATTCTCACTATTAACTAGTTGCTTATTAGTATGCCTATTATTAACATATTGGCTGTTTATAAAGCACATATTCTGCATGACCATTAATAAGCAGCAAATTAGGAGTTCATTGAGGCAAAAGTTGTAGTTAATAGTTTGTTAATAATACGAATTGGTCCTTAAAATAAAGCGTGAACAAATTATATTCTCATTTCTTAATGCATAATTAATTGCTATTATAATAGTAAGTACATGTAACAAGGACACCTTAAAATAAAGTGGCTTTATGCATTTAACTGTCAGTTTGGAATCCGATTGGCTGTCGAGTGTACGAGTCGCTGTCTGTCAGCACAACTTAGATCCAATAGAGCTTCACAAGAGAAAGCGGCCGCCTAAACGCACTAGTGTGATTGGATGAATGGATTTAATGGCCGGAATTGTTCTGGAAAGCTGGAAATACATGTGGTCCAAGTCAAGTACTGGGAGCAGGCACAACGCCAGTAAGAGACCATGAATGAATCTTCTCAAACGCTAGTAGAGAAATCATTCACGTTTGAGGACTGTGGAGGCTCTCAGTCCTTAACTGTGTCTATTCCTGAGGTACAGCAAAGTTTTTAATACTTGATGTAATTGATTTGCTAATAATCTTGCAATAAACTTTCTTATAATTCAGGTTCTTGATCCACAATATGGGATGTATGTTTGGCCCTGCGCGGTGGTACTGTCACAGTATGTGTGGATGGCAAGAAGTGAACTACAACACAAGACCGTTCTTGAGGTGACTACATCCCACTTACTGGTCACTTAGCTGATGCTTTGACTCACAGTGTGGTCAATTCAAGTTCACATGCATGACTTTAAAGGGAGCCAGCGCTGAAACATACACTTAGTTCCATGTATATTTGGACACTGACACAGTTTTCATAATTTCGGCTCTGTATGCCACCAGAACAGAATTAAAAATCAAACAAGTACAGACTTTAAGCTTTAATTCAAGGGGTTGAACAAAAATATAACATAAAATGCTTAGGAATTACAACCATTTTTATGCACAGTCCTCCATTTTCAGGGGCTCAAATGTAATTGAAAAAATAAAATGTTTAATATTTTGTTGAGAATCCTTTGCAGGCAATGGCGGCCTTAGGTCTGGAGCTCATGGACATCAGCAGTGACTGGGTTTCCTCCTTTGTGATGCTTTGCCAGGCCTTTACTGCAGCTGACTTCAGCTGTTGTTGTTTGTTTGTGGGTCTTTCTGCCTTTAGTTTGTCTTCAGCAAGTGAAACACATGCTCAACCGGGTTGAGATCAGGAGATTGACTTGGCCATTGCAGAATAATCCACTTTTTACCTTCAGAAACTCCTGGGTTGCTTTGGCTGTATGTTTTGGGTCATCATTTATTTGAACTATGAAGCGCTGTCCAATCAGCTTTGCTCCATTTGATTGAATCTGGGCAGAGAGTATATCTCTATACACTTCAGAATTCATCTGGCTGCTTCTGTCACGTCATCAATAAACACCAGTAACCCAGTGCCACTGGAAGCCATGCGTGCTCGTGCCATCACACTGCTCCACGTGTTTCACAGATGATGTTGTATGCTTTGGATCATGAGTTATTTCAAGCCTTTTCCATACACACACACACACACACTCACTCTCTCACACACACACACAGACATACTTTTTCTTCCCGTCATTCTGGTACAGGTTTATCGTAATTTCAGCCGTCCAAAGAATACTTTTGTTTTGGGGATATATTAAAGAAGGGAGTACAATTGTGATGAGAATACCCTCAAATTAAAGCTCAGAGTGTGCACTTTAAGCCCATATTCATTATATAACTGTAACTTGAATATGTTTTGGTCAACAGCTAAAATAGTAAAAATTGTGCCTGTGTCCAAATAATATATGGACCTGATTATATGCTCTAATAGTTTTGCAATACAGCTTTCATTCACTATTACGTCCTCCTTTGTTACATTTTATTTATTGATTCACTTTTTTTTGTAATGTTTACTTAATTTAATAACTGGGCCTAAAACATCTCTGATGGTGTATGCTGGACGTCTCCAATCGTTTAGTCTGCTTAAACCCCGCCCCTTTCTTACAATTGACTGCAAACTCACGTTAATTTTTTGAGTGCCACGCCCACATCTCAACATCCAATCAACAACTGATGCACTGAACCAAGTACCTGCCATACATTTTTGTTTTTCAATAATACATTACACGCGGATGTACGAAGAAACAAATCTGTCACTATTTCCGTTTTATTGTGACTTTAAGAAAATGGGTACGCCAAAAATGACCTTATTTTTGCCGACATATTTTTAAGTTCAAAATTTGCTGCACAGACACATAATCAAAAGTTTCTGTTATAACTACATTGTAGTGACTATACAAAAACAAACAACCAAAAACATTTCTTCAGAAGACGACTTTTAAATCTTATCGTTTCATTAATATTTTAGTTTGTGATAAGCTACAATAAAGACTGTGTTTTTTTGCCTGACTCTTTGCTGTCTTTTAAAGTGTATATTTTTGGCAAATTGCATGGAAACCAATGGTGCTCAATTTGACACCAAATTTTCGTTAGGGCGAAAGATTTTCCAATGCAGATTTTGCAGTAGGTTCAAGCTGATCATGTGGATTTACCGCACTGACCAATAGAAAGCTTCTTGTTTGGAAAGTGACTTCTGTTTGAAATGGGATTTATACATTGCTACACTATTGACAATAGTTAATGCACCTTTTTTTGCTTGCAAAATTTCGCTAATGTGGCAGACCTTAAAATCGTAGTCACCAAAATTTGTACAGCCTTTCCAAAACATGCATTTGTCAAAACTTCCCATACACAATCCTGATCCTAAGTGAGGAGAGTGTAAGAAGAAATAGTTGTTAGCCAGTGTTTCAAGCAAGTTAAATTTGGGTCAAATTGAGGGAGGGTAATGAATAGTGTCTGTTTGTTGCAGCTCGGTGCTGGAGTGAGTTTGCCTGGTGTGGTGGCTGCCAAGTGTGGAGCTCGTGTGATTTTGTCAGACAGTGCTGAGCTCCCCCTCTGCCTGAGGAACTGCAGGCGCTCCTGTGACGTCAACCACCTCCCCAACGTACCTGTGATCGGACTCACCTGGGGGCAGGTATCACCAGAGCTCCTCTCGCTGCCACCTGTGGATGTTATCTTGGGATCAGATGTATTCTATGAACCTGAGGGTGAGTGTTTTTTCCCTCGTTTTATCTTCTTTATCTT